TTCAAGTCCTCCTCACTTTCAGCAAGCAGAGTTGTGTCATCTGCCTACTGCAAGTTGTTATTCAGCCTTGCTCCAGCCTTGATGCCGCATTCTTCTTCACAGAAATCCACTTCTGTGATGATTGCTCAGCATACCGATTGGATAAGAATGTTGAGAGAACACAACTCTGACACAGCCTTTCCTGAGTTTGAACCATGCAGGAGTCCCTCGTTCTGTCCGCACAACTGCCTCTTTGATCCACGTACAAGTTCCACGGGAGCACAGTGAAGTGTTCTGGAATTCCCATCACTGAATATTAATGGGACTATCATTCCATTAGTGGAATGATATGCATGGCTAAAGAGTCATGATAAGCTATGAAGCACGTCCTGGCATGGGTGGACCTGGAGAGCATCATGCTAAGTGACATGTGTCCATCACAAAAGGACAAATACTGTATGAGAACATGGTTATAAGGGGAAAACTCAAGAGGAAGGTTTTCATCTCAAAGGAGAGAGACTTTGATGGTGACCCAGCAGAGAAAGGCCAGGGAGGAAAGATGCAGCGCTAGGTTTGAGGATGATAGGTGTCAACGGGAGTGACGGGAAGGACAGTATTCCACAGAAGGAGAAGCTAAAGCAATGTGTGAGTGTGCGGGTGTGTGTGTGGAGGGTGGGAGGACAGGACAAGCTCTCAGGGCATTTAACAAGTAGTGGAAGCTGTTGAATACAAAATCGGTGATCTGAAACATAAACCCCCACCTAATCCACAATTTAAAAAAAAATAAATTTTAAGTCTTTGGATTTACCAAGAAAGTTAAAAGGATACCTGGCAGTGGAGTGATTAGGCCCTTGGCTGCTAACCACAAGGTCAGCAGCTCAAACCCACCAGCAGGAGAAACATGAGCTCCTCCCCTTCCAAAAACCCTGTGAGGCAGTTCTGTTCTTCTTGCAGGGCCCCTGAAAATCAGAATGCATCCCGTGGCCACAAGTCTGGGGTGTTGGACTGGTTGGTTGGTTGGTTGGTTGGTTGGTTGGTTGGTTGGTTGACCAACTTAAGCGGATCCTGGTGAGACCGTGATTAAGCGCTCTGCTGCGGATGGAGCCCACCAGACCTGGCGCTCTGCTTCTGTGAAGAGGAAGCCCTGGAAGCCCGATGGAGCAGTTCTGCTCTGTCCTTTGAAGTCACCATAAGCCACAGCCCGCTTGACAGTCACGGGGTTGGGTTGGGTTGGAGCACAACACACCTGCCCACCCATGGACTGAGATTCCTTCCTCAGCACCACGGAGAAGGAAGGACATTCTGACATGGACAAGGCATTCTGCCGGTGGCCAATCACGCCGTCGAGAACCCGCACTCAGCAACATGACAGGGAGAACTCTGGGGTAGATCTGGGGCTGAATCTCCAGGGAACAGCCCTGTAATGACTGAGATACTCTGAGTTCACTCTGAGTCCGTCCTGAGATAAGGAAAGGAGGCAAAGAGCCTTGATGAGGCCACTGAGCATGCCCGGCGGGCAGGTGCACTTCTGGACTAGGTATCAGAGTGTGTGTGTGTGTGTGTGTGTGTGTGTGTGTGTGTGTGTATGAACCAGATGGCTGTATGCACAAGAAAGGGCAAAAGGACAGCAGAAGGTTCTGGATGCTGGACATGTGGGGTGGGTGGGTGAGTCTAGGCTGGATGGGGCCTGACTTGGCTTTGGAGTAGACATGGCCTGAGGCAACTACTCCCCACTCCCCCATTGAAAGACAATGAATGACCTCTTCTTCCCTTGGGCACTGGCTGGGATGAGCTCCTACTGAATGAACCGGTAGCCCTAAGACCAGAGACCCAGTTGTCTCTGCGTGATGTTGGAAAGGGACAGGGCAGGACAGTTTGCTCCTCAAATGGACATGGTCATCTCTGGCACAGAATGAGCTTGGAGGGCCTGGGAGCACAACTCGGGCCCCACGGAGGAGTCTTTGAATCCCAAAGCCCAGGTTGGAGCTTAAGGGTGGACTCACAAGAGGGAGCACTAACAGGCTGCCCCACCTTCAGAAGGTGCCGGTGGAAGAAGTGAGACACGACTAAGTGGACCAGTGGGCAGTGTGTATGATGTGGCTGATGCTGTACCCCCCAAACACCCATGGCATCCCCTCGTTGACTCTGGTGCTGGACCCCAGGGGCTAGCTGCTGAATCTGGCAAGCAGGCCACAATTGGTCCAGTGGAGAGGATGTTGGTCTTAGATACAGGCTGTATCTAAGTTTCTGTCGTTCAGAAACGGTTGTTTCATCACTGTATCCCCGGGGCTCCTGTTAACCTGCCATCAGCAGATGGCACGACCCTGCGTGCTGACAGTGCCGAGGAGCTAAGGCACCTACTGAGGAAGGTCAGAGGCTGCGGCATTCCGGATGGACGGCACCTTCACGTGAGGATCACTAAGCAGAGTGGAAATCAGATCCATTAGGCTGGGCGAATCGGCTGCAAAGGACCGCTCGTAAACAAGCATGTCACTCTGAGGACCAAGAGGCGCCTGCCCTGAACCACGGTATTAGTTTCTATTGCCTCCCGCGTCCATGAGGCGTGCCCTTATAAGAGACGAAGAAGACAGAGCGCGTGTGAAGAACGAAGGTGCCGTGGACCGCCAGAAGGACAGACAAATCCGTCTCGGAACAAATACAGCCAGATGCTCCTTAAAGCAAGGACCGTGAGACCTCATCTCACATGCTTTGGACATGTCATGAGGAGGTCATGGGGGTGGAGGTGGGGGTGGAAGATGCCCTCCCCTCTTTGAAACAGACAGACACGGGCAGTGATGGGCTCAGCCTAGCAATGAGTCGAAGGGGCGGGCCGGGCTGAGCTTGCATTTTGTTTTGAACCAACCCAGCAGCAGCTCATCTTTACTATCCTTTTCCGTTCCAACCTTATTTTCCCAGGACCAGGGATGAGATGATGTCCCTTAAAGTGGGAATCATAGAATAGCAAGGCACCTGAAAGTGATTCACGTGGGAGTTAAGGGCTGGATTGGCATTTCTGGTGTGATGGACCCACCCTACCGGGTGGAGAGGATTTCACAGGGACCATTCGATGCTGGTTGGGCACTTGAGAAAACCATCGGAGAAGGACACGGAGGAAGGTTCGGCAGTGTGATTCTTGGCGGCCCGCTGGTGGAAAGCTAGAGAAGACTCAACACCTTCTCCTTCAGCAGGAGCTCAGCCGTGGCCCAAGAAGGGCCTCCAGTTCGGGGGAAGGTGGCGAGGGGGGAGATGGTGGAAGGAGGAACTAGAGATTGGTGGCAGGAAGAACCAGCTGGGTCCTAAAGCCAATGACCCCACGTTTAAGTAAGGTGGGAACAAGAGCGTGCTTCTGAGCACCGTTTCTTACTCAGGCTTCAGTCGAGGATGGGGGAGACTGCCATCCGAGTTGATTGTCTAAACCAGACCACACCTCACACTGTCGTCTTAAGGAAATCCGATCCAGAGGGAACATGGTGAATGCAGCCGCTTCCAAACGGGATGCGGGTTTGTGGGCCGGTGCTTGGAGTCTCCTGTTAGCTGAGCATGCGTTCTGGGGAAATTATGAGCTCATAGGTCACTTCTCGGGAACAGCGTGAAAGGAAGATCCTGCCTAAGGCTCTTGAGTGCCCCTCCCCCTCTCAGGTGGCACCCTCTACAGCCCTGAAACCCAGGCCAGGTGAGGGCATTGGCCTCTGGAGGCGGCAGCTTGTCTCCTGTCCCCAAGGGTGTGGCCAGTCCCCTGCCAGGAGCCCCTGGCCTCAGAGTGTGCTGACTCCCTCCCGTGCCATTCGGATAAGCAGACGCTGGAGCCTGGTCAAACTCCAGAAGTGCCTCAAGGCCGTCCATCCTGTCCCCGAGGGGACTACTGAATCCAGTAGGATCAAGTTTGGTGGCTGGCAAGTATGGGGTCCAACTGTCCAAAGCAGGTGGGCTCAGCGGACAACTCCAGGGCTGAGCCAGCCCGCACACTGGTGTCTGCGTGAAGTCTAGTTTCAGGTTCCATTCCTGGCCGGGAGCCTCCAGCACGGTCAGGGTGTGCCCCTCAGTGGAGGCTGGCATGCTCCTGCAATGCTGAGTGGGTTTCACCTGAGCTTGCAGGCCAACTAAATCAGAACCTGCTGGGTCCCAACAGCCCCACCTGAACGCCATCAGGAGGATGGCACGGGTCAGGGAATCCCCGGGAGGCAAGGACTAACTCAACAGCAGCCCACGCCACCACCACTGTGGACAGTTGCCAACACGGTGCCTGTGAATGTGTGGCCTCGAGGTGCCAGGGAAGTTGTTAGTGCTTGGTAATGGGTGCTTCTCTCATAACCATCACCACCACCAAAATCTCTCTCTCTCTCTCAGATGGCAGCCGCCTTTAAGGTTGGGTAAAGTGGACTCTGGGCATGTCCCCAACCCCTCCCTTGACATCACCCTTGTGAGTGTTCTCGTTGCTCGTTACCACTCTCTGAGCCTCTCTCTCTACTTACTTATGGAAGTGAGGGTGTTTGGGGTGATGTTTTAAACTCTTTCTGTGATTTGGGTGGAAGGTTACAGGGCCCGTTGGGGTCCCGTTCACCAAAGCATTGTTTCCTGGCGTTAATTTGCCATGCCCGCCCCGGCACAGCCACACTTTCTCCCTGCGGCTTCCATTTCCATCATCCTGCTGGCACGTGTCCCTCCCTCCCTCGCACCATGCCCAGCTCACGTACACATCACAGTGCTCCGTGTGTGTGTGTGTGTGTGTGTGTGTGTGTGTGTGTGTGTGTGTGTGTGCAAAAGTAGATCCAGACATGCTATCTTAGATTAGGGCTCTGATGCGCAGCTTTTAATTCCCGGGGGATGGGGTGGGGGTGGTGCTGAGTAATTTTTTTCTCTCTCAAAATGGGGAGGTCGGCCAAATATGTTTGGGAACCTAGGCTCTAGAATGTTCGCTGTCTGAGGGCAGGCTCCTGGCCTGTCTGACCTGCAGAAGGAGCTCAGAACCCAGGACCTGCCCCGGCGGCGAGCAGCCCTCAGCCCCTCACCCCGGTCGGTACCTCTCGGAGTCTCTTCTGCCACTCCTCGGTGAACTCCGGCGAGCTGGTATTCACCAGGCTGGCGTTGAAGGTCCAGTCGGGGCACTTCCAGGCCGGGAGCGAAAGCATAGCCAGGGAGGGGGCCACGAAAGCAAAGGTCCCTCCCTGCAGAATGGGCAACCTGGAAGGAGAGGGTGGGGTCACTCACAGGGTCCCCTGGCACCCAGAGGCCCCAAGAGCAGGTGTCCCGGATCCCAAGTCCTAGCTGTGTTTGAGAAGACACAGGGCCCCAGGGTTATTCAGAAGCGCCTGCCATGCTTCTTGTTGGGCCCATGAATCCCAACAACGTTGAACAGGTAAGAGAGGGATGCAGGAAGAGACTCTAGACCCCTCTCCAGTCCTGGCGGGAACCTGTGAACCCCGCCAACGTGGAACAGGTAGGAGAGAATCCCTCGCCAGTCCTGGAGGAGAGAGCAGGGAATTCAGCACACACACTAAGTGGCTGCGGTCCTTCACCTCGGGCCTGGACAGTCCCCCACCCACCCCTGGGCCCAGGTTACAGCCCAGCTCACACATGGGCAGGTCCCCCCTCTGTATGCTCTCCAGCTAGTCCCCTACTGTGAAGAGGGGCATGGCCCCAGATCCAGCCTGCCCGGGTCTCTGGTTCTCCACAAGCGACAGAAGTCCCTGGCCTCTCCTGCAAGCCCACTTATCCCACAGCTGGTGGTCTGTCCTCAGTGTGCCCCTTGCCCTGGCCTCTGTGAGGACTTCCCACAGCGCCTGCTCATCCAGCCTGCCCTTTGTGGTAAGCGCAGCCCAGGAGAGGTCCACCTCCAACGGCCTTCTCCTGTAGCCGGTCCGAGGCTGCGACGGTTTGCCGAGTCTGGCCACTCGGGACATTAGAATTAGGGGAGTTGGGGAGAAAGACACTTAGAAATGGTTAAAGTGAGGAAATCCGATTAGATTTTTTTTAAGGAGCTTTGACTATCTGCTTCCTGCGAGAGCCACGATGCCCCTTAGAAGCCAGGGTGGTGACACCTCATCTCACGTACTTTGGACACATTGTCCGGTGGTACCAGACCCTGAAGACGGACCTCATGTTTGGGAAAAGAGAGAGGGCACGAGAAGACCCTTAGTGAGCGAGAGCGGCACGGCGGCTGCAGCAATGGACTCAAGCACAGCCCGGCTCGTGGACCGGGCAGTGTGTCCTTCTGTCCTTCCCAGATGGCTATCCTCCAAACCGACGCCTTGGCACCCAATAGCCACGAGAGAATCTTCATCCGACTTGTATTTCGGCATTGACATCTACCCTTCAGACAGGGACAGGTAGTTTTCATCTAACGTTTGCCCTGCTTGACAAGGAAGCCGCAGTACTTTCCGATTTCTCCGACACATCTTGAAGACGGCACGGAGTTCCAGAAGAACAGACATATCTGTCTGGGAAGGTGGACGGACAGGATGCCCCAGAGCAGCAAGGACCGTCAGACTTGATCTCGCCTGACTTCTGCTGAAAGTCACCGTGGGAAAACTGGCCCCGAGGCCCCCAGCAACAATCCCACTATGCTCTGAGGACTCCCGGGCCCTTCAAGAGTCCAGTCACCTCTCTCAAGGACAACGAGTACATGTTCATCTTTGCACTGAGCTCGTTTGTCAAGCAAATAAATGGTGGGGAAGCCTGTCACACACCTGGTTAGAAGGGTCTAGGTGGAGGCGACTGTCCAAGGTTGATTCCTATGATGGACGATCGGACATGCCTCCACTCTCCAACCATGTAAAAATAAATACATCTGATACCAACTGTCCTTCCCACGGCACTCCCTCCTTCTCTGCTGGGCTGGCTGGCTTCATAGTTGTTGTACAGACAGTACTCACAATGGTGGGGTTGACTGCGGAAGTAGTGGGTTACAACTCAGGTTCAGGGATCCTCAGAATCCAGTTCTTTGATCAGCTTCTTTTTAGCCAGCAGGCCTCTCTCTGCCCTGCTTAAACAAATGCTACAAAGCTCTTTTAACTCTGCCAATAAGTGCTCCGAGGCACCTTGCTCTCTATCAGCAAGCCTCCTGCCCAGGGGCACTCAGCATTCTCACTGCATGTGCCAGGAAGCCCACCACGCTGGCTCATGCCTATCTCTTGATTGTATTGTCTGTCTGCTGCCCTTTCTCTGCTGCTGCTTCTCGCTGTCTCTCACTGTCTCCAGTGTCACAGCTCTCTGTCCACTGGATCAAGGAGCCCCTCGGTCCCGTGTTCTCAGGTTCTCCTCTTTCTTGGTGGTCATAAGGGCCTCCCTTTCCACCTCTGCGATGACTCATTTTAAACGTGGCAGAATGGCAATCCTGACCAATTCCTATGTTAGAGCTCCATACATCTTATTTACAAGGCCCGAGCCCCACGAGGGTGCCGTGCACCTTATTTGCATGATTAGAAAGCTATCCAATCCCTTCAGTGGACTACAAGAACCTCATATTTGCACAGTCCTACCTAGTCATTTGTAGGAGCTGCAAGGACTATGGCTAGAAGGGCCATACTGTGCTTTCTACATAATCTGGTGTCAGTTTGGGACTTGAGAGGATTAAGAGTGAAGGGGTGGAGTCTAGTCCGTCAATCAGATCATAGCCAATGAGGTATCTGTGTGGGCGTGGCTTTCTCCTGAGAATCCTGGGAAATCTGGTTATTCCTCCTTGGAGGCGGGAGAGACTCTCTGCTCACTCCCTGAGAGACACTCTACTGACAAGACAGATGTCACTAGGCTGATAGGCCCCATGCCCTGAGAACTGGAGAAGCCACCTGGAGACCCCTGCCAGCGCTGAGATGCTCACACCACCACTGGATCCAAAGACTTTCCACCCACTGGCCTGTGATCGTCCTGCATTCCGCGTCATTGCACGTAGCTTGTGAATCTGAAGAGGACTTTATAGATTGTTATTGGACATATGGGATAATATTGGACTTACGGGCTTGGACTGGACTAGGTTGGGATGCTTTCTTAATGTACAATTACCCTTTATATAGAACTCTCTCCTATAGACATATGTGTGTCCATGAATTTGTTTCTCTAGTCTGCCCAGACTAACACACATACTAAGCAATTCACTGCACCACATCCCTTCCTTGGAGGTAAAGTGATTGTCGATAGTTGATTCCAATGCACGACAACTCCATGTGATACAAAGCAGAACATCCCAAGGGGTGTTCATGGCTGTAAATGGACAGAAGTAGACCGCCAGGGCTTTTCTTCCACAAGTGACACTGGCTTTTCTTCCACAACTTTGAACTGCCAACCTTTGGGTTAGCAACCCCGTGCAAACCATGTGTGCCACCTGGGGGCAGAGGAAGCAAATGTACCAGCTGCTGTCTTTTGAATGCTGCTCTCTTCCGCTCCCCTCTGATGTGCCGATCACCAACTCACTCCACCATCCCTTACAGCCCCACCACTCCTACTCAAGCCAGAGCACCAGTGGGGCTTCTGGGGACCTTTCTGTGAACACAGCCAAGGTGGCTGCGCATCACTGATGAGACAGGAGCAGCGCTTAGAAAGGGCAAGTCTCGGCCAACAGGAAGATGGTGGATGGAAAGGACCAAGGGACAAGGGTGGACTCAGCAAATCTGTCTGCACGCCAGCATCAAACCTCCAAATGCACTTGGGACGGGGAGTCCTCGCTTTGGCCTGGAGTACTGCCCAGAGAAATGTATCACTTGCAAGCAGTCCAGGAAAAGAAGCTACCAGATCAAAACAATGAATGATTGTGGAGCTGAAGTTCAAATTGGGTGGGAGATAGTTGCCTTCAAATCAACCCTGGCTTTCATTCTATAGAATGAAACATTGCCCAGTGTCTGTCATCCCAAGGATCATCAGCATGCTCAAGTCCACCTGGTGTGTTAAGGACCCATCTAGCCAGTGGTCTCCATTGTCTATGCTGGCCCCCTCCTTCCTAAACATGATGCCCTTCTCTATAGATCGATCCTTCCCAACAGGTGCAGATACCCCAGCGAGCAAGGTAGACACAGCTTAGTTGTGCTCACCTACTAATCTGCAGTGATTGACTTCACATCTGTGAGGAAACCCTGCTCTATCTTGTTTACTGTGTACTCCACCCCCGTCAGGGATTGTAAATTTGAAAAAAGGCTTTGATTTCATAGGTAGATGCTGGGAGATATGAAGAGAGAGGCCAGCCATACCCAGACGCAGAATCTTTAAAAAGATACTGTATGTATGTACTCGAGCATAAGCCGACCTGAATCCCAGCCAAGGCACCTAATTTTACCACAAAATCTGCATACAAAACGTGCTGAAAAGCTCAGCTTATAATGAGTATATACGGTACTTATTTTTTTAAGGAGATCCTTTATTAAGTCTTAAACAGGACAAAGATAAGACAAAGACAAATCATTCCAATGAGGGAGATCATTAGCATGAGACCACAATGGTGTTCAAGAGATTCATGGTCATGTGGCTAATTACAGACCATGGAAAACAGGAAATTCGTCACGGTGCTAGATCAATCCATCCCAGTTGTAGATGGGAAAGACCTACGATTGGAATAATATACACTATTGCAGATTATAACCATTTACAGGATTGCTTCTGGGGCCCTCTGACCCCCTTGATCAGAGTATGACTTATTAGTATGTGACCTTGGCATTCCAATCTGCGTTTAGAGACTGCCCCTCCTGGCCTGGTCAGGGGCGTTTAAAATGAGCGGTACCAGAGGGCAGAGCTTTATGGTCAGAATAAGCTCAATGGAGGCTGGATTGGTGCCAAGATTGAAACTGGAGTTAAGAATTTTACTGAAAACCATAACTTTCTGCAAACCAAGTGCATAGAAGTTAAGCTCTGATACAGCCCCCTCCTCTGATTACGGATTTAATTGAAAATCCTTGGGTTGGTGTGCTTTCTTCTGTAAGGACCCGGTTGATGGCTCCTTTAGATGACCCCTTATTTTAGGGCAAACTAGTAAAACTCCAGATACTATACTTTATGATAGCCTGGCACCAACGGACTCTTTCCCCACTCTTTACTATGGCCCACAAGTCTTCTGCGATCACCTCCTGAAGGTGAGAGTTGAGTTGGGCCACATTGTAAAAACTACTTGTTCTTTGAGTAGGCCTTATATCTTAAAATGGGAGCCAGCCCCATCTATAGAGTGTATCTTTCATCTTCTATATCTGCATACACTGCTCACTAGAAGCAGGCTTTTTGGCGTAGTGCAATGACTGGAATGGTCACTACAGCTTACCAAGTACGATTAAGTAAGTCCATTCTGCCCTTGCTTATTGGAGAGTCTGGCACAACTTCCTGATGACCTATCCAAAGTAAGGGAGTTGGATAATCTTCCACTGTGGTCCACAGATTTTAAATTGGCTACTTTTCAGAGAGATGGCCAGGTATTTCTTTCTAGCCTGTCTTAGTATAGAAGCCCTGATGCACCTGTCCACCATGGGGCCCTGTTGATATTTGGAGTAACCAGGTGATAGAACTCCCAGCATCTCAGCAACATCCAAGCAACCACGGTGCACCACACTGACAGATGAGCGGTGGGGAATGGCATTTTGAAAGAATCAAGACAAACCCACCACTGTCGAGTCCCTGCTAACTCTTAGTGACCCCGTAGGAAAGAGTGGCACTGCTCCCTAGGGCTTCTGAGACTGGCCACCTTTTTTAAAATCATTTTATTAGGGGCTCATACAACTCTTATCACAATCCATACATACATCAATTGTGTAAAGCGCATTTGTACATTCATTGCCCTCATCATTCTCAAAACATTTCCTCTCCACTGAAGCCCCCGGCATTAGGTCCTCATTTTTCCCCTCCCTCCCCGCTCCGCCCTCCCTCATGAACCCTTGATAGTTTATAAATTGGTATTTTGTCATATCTTGCCCTGTCCGACGTCTCCCTTCACCCCCTTTTCGGTTGTCCGTCCCCGAGGGAGGAGGTCACATATAGTTCCTTGTAATCGGTTCCCTCTTTCCTACCCACTCTCCCTCTACCCTCCCAGTATCGCCACTCACACCACTGGTCCTGTAGGGCTCATCCGCCCTGGATTCCCTGTATTTTCAGTTCCTATCTGTACCAGTGTACATCCTCTGGTCTACCAGACTTGCAAGGTCGAATTCGTGTCATGATAGTGGGAGCGGGGAGAAAACATTTAGGAACTAGGAGACTGGCCACCTTTATTGAAGCCGCCTGCTTCCTCTTTCTCTTTAGGATCTGCTGGTGGATTTGAACCTCTGGTCTTGTGGTTAGTAGCTCTATGCTTCACCCATTACCTCTCCAGGGTTCCATTGAGAATTTGGTCTAGTCCATCTTTTATTTCTCTAGCCTTCTAAACCGATGGTCTTTTAAAGGAAGAAGGGGTGGTGTGTCCCCTCTCACGGACTTCAGAGGTGAGCATTGAGGGAAGTAGGACACTCAGGTGGGCTGCCTTCCGGGTGGCCAAAGGACACAGCTGCCTGCCCGCTCCACACGGAGCAGGTGCTAATTAGCAGTCACACCCAGAGCAATAGTGATAGCCTAATGTGCTTTTAATTGCTAAGACCTTGTGAAATCTTATTGCAAAGCTGGCCGTTTCGGTTTCTAATCAGGAAATGTACATTGTTAAGTTCTGATGCAGATAAATACTCCACAGCAATGGTTTATATTACAGGTAAGACAAGCCAACCTACCTGGCCTTTGATTCATCACTTATCAGTTAGATTGATTTTACAGCTTCTCACACCCAATTCCATGGACAGAGACAAATTCAAGTTTATGTCTGCCCCATCTTCACCTGAGGACATCGGCATGGTTTTCCTAATTGTAGCTCCTTCTTTCTGGCCACGGTCAGTGCTTTTCATTCACGTGAGCCCCTTGATCCTTATTCTTGTGTTTGAACCTCTGATTTTGTGCCACAGGGGTGGGTCCACAGGGGCTGTGATTACCCGTGTGGGGAGACGGTCCCTGCGCATGTGCTGTGCCAACACCCAGGGATTTCGCAACAGTGGCGTTGCAAGGGGCGCTTCGATAGTGTTGTGTTAAGTCCTTTGTTTTGCTACGGAAGCCTTTAGGAGGTGGCCGATTTGTCCGGCCTCATAGTACAGGATCAAGACTGCAGTATAAGCCTTGAGGCTTTTTCTACAATTAGAACGGACAGCATCACAGGTTTTAACTGCGGTTGTGGTGGGGCGGGGGTGAGGTCCACCCTATACAGAACTTCTCTGAGTCTGCAACTCTGCATAGGGTGAGAGGCAGACCACCCGGGTAGCTGGCAAGAAGGCCAAAGACCCCACCAATTCCACTGCCACCAGCCACTGTTACTCAGCTTACATTCTAGGACACGGGAGGGGAGGCTGATCAGAGTAAGTCCTGCACTCAGTTGATGCCTCGGTGGGGGTTGGGAAGAATCTTGGCTCACAGAGAGGGTGAGAGGAAAAGAGAGGAAGAAGGAAATAGGGGCCCGGGTCTCCTGGGGCAGCAGGTAAGGAAGAAGTCTACACTAGAAACTGTAAAGTTAAAACCACTTATCTGTTAGTTTGTCCAACTGTGGTGACTTCCATGTTACGGTGATGGTGAATCTATGTCACTAATATTTCAAATGCCAGCGGGGTCCTCCAGCGTGGACAGGTTTGAGCAGCGCTTCCAGACTAAGAACGGACTATGAAGAAGGAGCAGGCTGTCCACTGCAGAGGAATAGCCCCTGAAAACCTTCTGAATTCCATGGAAACACTGTCCGATGCTAACAACTTGATGAACAGGAGCAGAACATAGTGTCGAAGATGAGCACCCCCCACCAAGCCGAAAGGCACCCAAAATATGACTGAGGAAGAACTGCCTTCTCAGAGTCAGCTCAAGCAGCATCACGCCGATGGCGCGAAGCCCGCAGAACCTCCATTGGCTGGGTGGGACACGACTCCGCAGAGAAGAAACAACTGCAAACAGCTGTTAGGGACCGGGGCTGGGAAGACACAAAGCATGAATCACATGAAGTTGGGAGCCATCAAATCTGAAATGGGATCCGTCAGGATCCATCTCTGAGGCATCTGTGGGCTGAACTGGACTGATGTTGTCAATTCAGACCTCCATCGCGTTGACTGTGCCAGCAATGACAGAGTCCAGAGGGGTGGAGCGGCCTTCGTGGTCAAAAAGGACATTTCAAAATCTATCTTGAAGTACAATGCTGTCTGGGATAAGATAGTATTGATCCGAAGACAAGGAAATCCAGTCAACACATCTACTATCCAAATGCATGCACCAACCACTAAGGCTCCAAACCCCCGCCCTGCCATCCAGTCCGTGCTGACTGCCCGTGACCCGGTAGGACAGGACAGCTAGCATTGCTCCTGTGTGTTTCTGAGGCAGCACCTCTTTACGGGAGTAGAAAGCCTCCTCTGTCCCCTGCAGGTGACTAGTGATTTTGCTCTGCTCACCATTTGGCTGGCAGCCCAACTGGTAAGCCCTACGCCACCTGGGCTCTTACCATGAGAGCTGGTGATGAAGAAACCGAAGAATCTTGCCAATGCCTTCAGCCTGCAATTGGTGAAACACGCAACCGAGACGCACGGATAATTATCGGTCATTGGAACGCAAAAGTCGGAAACAGAGGAAGGAACAATAGTTGGAACTATGACCTTGGGAAGAAAAACGAAGTGGGAGATTCGCAGGATAGAATTTTGTAAGACCAATGACTTCTTCTATGCAAATACTGTTTATCAACAGCACGGAAGGCGATGGTGTAGATGTACTTCTGTAGGTGGGATACACAGAAATCAAATGGACTGTCTCTGTGAGACGAGGTGATGGAGAAGCTCAATCTCCTCCGCTAATGTCCACAGTGACCGTGGAAGAGACCATCAACCGCTCGTGTGTACGTTCAGGCTGAGGCTGAACAAGGCCATGAAAACCAATATAGCCCACATGAATTTCGAGAGCATCTTTTTTTAAAAAACCGTTTCATTGGCACTTCATGCACATCTCATACAATTCATATCAAGAAGAGTTGTATCAAGAACAGATTTGAGGCCTTAAACACTAATGCTAGGAGACCTGCTGAGCCATGACAGGACACCCAGACCATCACACATGAACAAAGCAAGAGATCATCTAGAAGACAGCAAAGGAAGAACAGATCCAAGGGGATGTCAGCAGGAATCAGCTGGCATATCCGTTCATCCTCATAAAGTTGGTAAGGCAAATGGAAAACGAAGAAGTAAAAGAGCTAGCAGGAACTTTCACAGGGCAGCTCGAGAAGACAGAGGAGAGGACTATAGTGGAATGCGCAAAGACCTACAGTTAAAACCAAACAGGAAGGACACGCTCTGTGTATCTGAATCTGATAGAACTGAGGGAAAAAACCCAAGCATCAAGTTGCAATGTTGAAAGATTCTATGGTCAAAATACTAAATGATGCAGGAAGTGTCAAAAAAAGAAGGAAATAAGTCATAGAGTCATTGTCCCAAAAGGAACTGGTTGACGTTGGCCCCTTATGCGTGGGTTTGCGATGAATCAGGACATGCTGGCAGCACCAGTAATGATGCAGGCAGGGCAGCAACGGAATGCACAGCAAGCTGCTTCACTCACCTGATGCCGAGGGACACTTGCAGGAGAGTGCAGATGCCAGAGACGAAGAAGATGGTGCTGATGAGGTAGCTCTGGGTCAGGGGGTCATGCTGCAGACACAGGTCCTTGGCCAGGATGAGTGGCACAGCCACCAGCCCTCCCAGGGCCGTGAGGAAGTGCTGTGGGCAGAGCAAAGGGCAGAGAGACCTTCAGCCCAGCCTGCTCTCCCCCTAGGGGCCATCCTCCCTCCCTGAGACAGAGCCAGGCAGGGGTGAGGAGGACCAACAGTAAGAATCAGGGGGCCCACTACCCTAGGCAACCCCCCCCCCCCATTGGACAGAACACAGGAGGATGAGGCAAGAACCTAGCTGGTGGGGTGCTGAGAGCTTATGAACAAGGCGGAAACCCCAACGGCATCGGTTCCCTCCATCAAGTCTGATTGATACTGACCCAGAACAAGACATGAGGCTTGTTATTAAAACCAGGTACGCAGGGAGGGAGGGCCACTGACGTGAAGAGCTGAGCGTGAGCAGTGAGCTCTTGGCCAAGGGTTGTTTGAGTCCCTGAGAGGACAGGCCAGGGTTGAATCCATAGCAGGAGACTGGCGATAAAGGAGGTTGATTAGACAGAAATTGGATGGATGGGTGGATGGATGAGTGGATAGAAGGAAGAATGGAAAATGGGTGGATGGTACAGATAGATAATTCAAAAACCAAACTCACTGCTATCAAGTCAATTCTGACTCATAGCCACCCTCTAGGGCAACCTTTGGGTTTCTGAGGCTATAAATCTTTACAGGAGCAGAAAGCTTCCTGCTTCTCCTGTGGAGCAGTCGGTGGGCTTGAACTACTGACATTTCAGTTAGTTGCCCAACATCTCATCTACTACACTACCAAGGCCCCTCAGATACTATTTAACCAGTCATGGTTGATCTGTTCAGGGAATGTTCTGGAACAGCTTTACCAGTAATGGTCACTACTGCTCTCCAACATTGGAATGGGAAGTGGGAACAAGATGTAGGGAACGATGAGGAGAAGACCTTGGGCTCCCACTGAAAGGCACAAGTTCCCCACTTGTTGTGTTTTCTTTGGCTAACCCAAAAGGTCATACAGAGAGAGAGCTAATGGTGCCCGGCTATCAAATGATATAGCATCTGGGGTCTTAAAGGCTTGAAGATAAACAAGAGGCCATCTAGTTCAGAAGCATCAAAGCCCACATGGAAGTAGCATACCAGCCTGTCTGACCACAAGGTGTAGAAGGGACCAGTTATCAGACATCAAAGAACTAAAAATCAGATCAGTGGGTGCCCACCTTCCTGATACGATCACTGAAGATAAACGTGTGCATAAGCAAAGGTGGTGAAGACAGCTGATGGTGCCTGGCTATCAAAAGATATAGCGTCTGGGGTCTTAAAAGCTTGAAGATAAGCAAGCAGCCAACTAGCTCAGAAGCAACAAAGCCCACATGGAAGAAGCACAACACCATGTGTGACCACGAGCTATCAAAGGGATCAGGTATCAAGCATCAAAGAACAAAAAATATTGTAAAGGTGAATGAATGCAGAGAGGAGACTCAAAGCCCATCTGTAGGCAACTGGACACCCCCCCCCCCGCTGAAGGGTTTTGGGGAGGAGACAAGGCAATCAGGGTACAGGGTAGCAATGATGAAACATATAACTTTCCTCTAGTTCTTAAATGCTTCCTCCCCCTCACTATCATGATCCCAATTCTACCTTACAAATCTGGCTAGACCAGAGGATGTACATTGGTACAGATAGCAACTGGAAACACAGGGAAACCAGGACAGATGACTCCTTCCGGACCAGTGGTGAGAGGGGCAAGGCCTGGAGGGTGAAGGGAGGGTGAGGTAGAAAGGGGGAACCAATGACAAGAATCTAAGTATTGCCTCCTCCCTGGGGGAGGGACAGCAGAGAAGAGGGCAGGGGGAGACGTCGGACAGTGTAACTTATGACAAAACTATAATAAGTTATGAATTATGAAGGGTTCGTGAGGGAGGGGGGAGTGGAGAGGGAGGGGGGAAATGAACAACTGATATTAAGGGCTAAAGTGGAAGGCAAATGTTGAGAATGATGAGGGCAACAAATGTACAAATGTGCTTGACACAATGGATGGATGGATGGATTGTGATAAGAATTGTACAAGCCCCAATAAAATAATAAAAACAAAAACAAAAGGTCATCATACAGGTCAACTAGGAGGTGGCTGCCCCCTAGGGAGGACAGCACGGGAGAAGCGAGGCCTGTGTGTCTGTGTTGGGCTGTTGGACAGGGTTCCCACTGCTCCGATGTCCTCCTGAGATACAGGAAAGGAGTGCAGAGACCCTGTGACCTGGTCAGTCCACACAGGCCACTCTAGCCAGGCGTCCATCAGGGCTTGGTTTCCCATCTGAAATCAGACCCCGTGACACTACGTGTGACCAATTTTGTGACACATGGCTCACTCTCTCCCATGGTTTCTTAAATCGTTTAATCCCAAAGAATGCGGTGGGGGGGTGGGGGGTGGCTCTAAGTAAGCCAAGTTGGCCCAGTACCTCTCCCATCCTCCACCACCAACAAAACCCACTCCCACTGAGTTGATTCCAACTCATCGTGACCCTATAGGACAAAGCCGAATCCCCCATGAGACTCGCAAGGCTGTCCCCTTTACAGGGGCAGACTGCTACATCGTCCTTCCTTGACCAGTAGCGCGCTGCTCCGTTCTGTCCCAGGATCACAAGGAACCCCACCCAGGGAAAAAGGTCCTGTTGGTCTCCTACACCTACTGATCAAGTCAGCCTGAAAGAGCCCCTCCTCCAGCCCCTGACCCCACTCCCAAATCCTGGTGAGAAAGACAAGAGGAGCATGCGCCTTGAGGCCAGCATGAGCCATAGACGCTTCCCATGGTCACAAACTAGGTCCTGGGGGACCAAAGCGTGAACGTGCTCAGCTGGGAACCGAGAGGTGGGAGGGTCGCGTCTACCCAGTAGAGCCTAGGATCAAAGTCCTAGCTTTCTGCTGCCGAAAGAGCCCAGCCACCGAAAGCCCTCTAGTGCTCAGTTCCACTCCAATGCCCACAGGGTCGCCATGGGTCAGGCCTGCCGGTGTGGCCTGGGTGAGAGTGGGTATACCTTTGGCAGCACAGCCTCTGGGACCCAGAGCTTCCTGGGTGGCATTACCTGGATCCCCAAGAAGATGCAGAGGTACCAGGGCGGGGTGTCCAGGACGCCATAGGCCAGGCGGCTGCTACTGGGGCCCCCGGGCTGCTCATCCTTCTTCCTGTCTGGACGGTCCATGTGTGGACAAAGCCTGTCGCCTCCGCTCTGCTGGGAGCAACAACAAGGACATGTGTGGGCAGCCCCTGGTTTCCACAGGACGCCTGGACAGCCAAGGGAAGAGGGCTGGTCTGGGAAGGTGCCTGGAGGGTGCAAATGGTGTGTACTCAAGTTGGCGGTTCACACCCCATGACCTTACTGACGGAAGGCCTGTTGGTCTGATTCCGTAAAAGGCAGACCCATGGAAACCCCGCGGAGCCAAGCAGTCCTTCTCTGTCGAACACAGGGTTGCCATCGCCAGAACTGGCTCCAGGAAAATGGATTTGTTGGGCGCTGGGGACTTTCAGGTCCAGACTCAAGACACCACACTGGTTTTCAACACAGGTGTCCCGGACTGTGCGGCGATGTGTGACATGCTGTGGGCCAGTCAATCGGCACCATTTCCCTCACAGCATGAGCTCAGTTCTTGTCTCTATGTCCCATTCTGGTGATTCCTACCATGTTTCCACAGTGCCATTGCACACTGGATAGGCTACAGTAGGGTGTCAACATAACTTTGACAAGCACCCAGAAACTTGTTTTCTTGCCGTACCCGCTTCCTTGCAGGGTCTCGAACCAAGCTCACAAAATTGCCAAGCTTTGCCTGTGTTATGCATCTGCACAGGACCTCCATGGGAAGTCCAGGGCTCTTACAGGGAGGGGAGGATGGGAACAACCTCGGGGTCAGAAAATGGGTCGGCTCCTCTCGCGGACAGCAGGCTGGTGCCTCATTGCCCCTGAGCATGTGCTCCACAGCCTGTTCTTCTGCGTGGTTGTTAGTTGCTAGAAGGCACTGCTTGTGCTTGCCTCTGCTGTGTTCTCCCAATTCCAGTGCATTCCAGGTACATCAAAGGTATTTGCTCATTGGGAACTTGGATGGATGGATGGATGGATGGATGGATGGATGGGTGGATGGGTGGATGGATGGATAGGTGAGTGGATGAACAGGTAGATGAGTGGATGAACAGATTAAAGGATAGATGGATAGATGGATGGATGGATGGATGGATGGATGGATGGATGGATGGATGGATGAATGGATGAGTCGGTGGGTGGATGGATAGGTGGATGGATGGATGGACGAGTAGGTGAGTGGATGGATAGGTGGATGGATGGATGGACGAGTAGGTGAGTGGATGGATAGGTGGGTGACTGGATGGATGAGTAGGTGAGTGGATGGATAGGTGGATGTATGGATGGATGAGTCGGTGGGTGGATGGATAGGTGGATGGATGAATGGATGAATCGGTGGGTGGATGGATAGGTGGATGGATGGATGGATGAGTCGGTGGGTGGATGGATAGGTGGATGGATGGATGGATGGGTGGGTGGATTGATGAGTAGGTCGGTAGATGAATGAGCATGTGGATGGATGGATGGATGAGTAGGTGGGTGGGTGGGATGGATGGAACATACAATATATGCATACAGAATGCCTTTGGGTTACTTTCTTGCCATTTAATCAAAATTAACTTCAAATTTAAATATTTCCCACCAACCTATTGTCTGTATATTTAACCAATCTTGGGAAAATGCCTACTATTGCTAAGCCTTATTTTTCTACCAAGCTAGTAGAAGTGTCCCTAGAACCTCTGTCAGAAATCACTGAGCAGATTAGGTGGCGGCGGGACACCCAGGACCCAGGACCTGGCACAGAACTGTGCAACAAGGGCGCTCAGCCTGCGGCACAGGCCGTGCACATGTGCTTAGGGCTGACCACCAGGAGTCCCTGGGTGGTTCAAGGGGCGTAAGCACTCAGCTACCCAGTGGAAGTTTGAGAGTTCAACTCCCCCCCCACACACACACACACATAGGGGCACCTCAGAAGGCAGGCCAGCCCCCTCCTCCTGAGAAGTCACCACGTTAAAAAACCTGTGGACACACGAGGTCACCCAAGCTCAGCGGTGGCTTGATGGCACCTGGTTCAGTTTGGGTTTCTGGGCTGTGGCTACAATCATGTAGCTCACGTACCGGATGATGGGGCAAAACTCTGGACTGAAAACACCAGCAGTAATGGGAACACCCGTTCATGTGTGCAGCTCGTGTGCAGTGTGCAGCGGGTCAGTCGAAACTTTGTTCAGATTTCCATCACAGTTGGATCACAAGGACAGCTCTGACCAGGGCACAGAAAAGGGTCCACTGAGTAAATTAGCACCGAGTGTCCACCTTACAGGTGGATTGGAACAGGTCAGCGAGGCTGACAAAAACACTGGTTTGTTGTTCTAGCTAACTCTAGAGATACGCTAAGGAAGAGAGTAGATGTCTGCTGAGACACCGCACAGACATGTTACAGGCAATCCTGGGGTCCCCCTGACAGTGTTGCCCAGTGTGGTCCACAGCCCACACCCCTCCCAGGGACGCCCCTGTTTTACAGCTTACAAAGAGCTTCCAACATGTTCTCTTGTTAGCATCTCACCACCACCTTCTAACCCCAAACCAAACTCACTGCCATTGAGCCCGTGCTGACTCACAGCGACCCCAGGTGAGTTTCCGAGACTGTCACTATTGACAGGACTGGCAAGACCAGTCTTTCTCCCGAGGAGCTGCTGGCGGTTTCGAACTGCCGACTGTGCAGTGACCACTATGCCACCAGGGCCCCCTGCACCTCCATCTCTCTGCCCCCATTTGACCGATGCGGGGACTGAGGCTAACTGGCGTTCCATGGCTTGTCTAGTGCCACCAGGGACCGAGGAGACTGGTGCAGGAAGAGGAGCAGGGGGCAGGCTGAGGGCCCCTGGGGGAGGAAGACCCTTACCTCCTCCAGCCCACACTTCCCAGCACCCTCGGATCCTTCTAGGCTCATGTCTTAGCCCTCCCTCACCGGGCTCTCCCCACAAGCTCAAATCTGCCCCTCCTGCGGAGAGCGGAGTGGGGGTGGGGTGGGGGTGGGGAGTCTGCCGCAGCCTCAGGGAGCCCCCTGCTCTCGAAACACACTCTCTGTCACCTGTCAGAAATGTCACCAGCCAGGCCATCAGCATTCAGGGCTGGGAAGCTGTCCTCCCCCATCTTTAAGAGCCCGGGGGCGATTGGCCCCTGTCCCTTTGCTCTCTGGCTGCTCTTCCTGCTGGGCCTCAGAAAACCGCCTACCCAGAGACTCCCTAACAGGGAAGCACCTGGACGACCAGCCGAGTGGATTCAGCCAACAGAGGCCAACCTGTGCTCAAAGGTGACAGGCACATCCCAGCAGAGCTCTGTCCCTTCAGGTGGCCCCTTCAGGTGGCAGGCCCCCGAGGGGGGGCCTCAGCTCTGAGTGGAGGGAGGCAGGGGCAGCAGGGCTACCCCCGCCCCCAGACCAGCGCTCCCTTCCCACCCTCTTTCCATCTGCACTCACCAGCCTGTAGGGGTGCCCTCTGCTGCTGCCACTACTGCTGCTGCTGAGCAAGGCCACCAGGGAGTGCCTCCCTCTGCCTCCCTCTCTCCGTTCCCTCCCCCTCCCTCCCTCCCTCCCTCCCTCCAGGAAGCTGGAGTAAGAGTGCCAAAACAGATTAACTTCTCCAGGGCTGACAGCATGGGGTGGGCCCAGGAGCCTGCCAGGATGGACTCCAGGGACCACCTTTCTAGATGGGCATCCCCCTGGCTGAGCGGGAGGGCTAAGGGAGAGGATCTCCTCACCTCCTACAGGGCCAGGGTGCGCGGCCTCCACCAGGTGTTTCAGTAATCAGCATGGGCACTGGATCTACACCACACCCAGGGTACAAGGAAACCCATGGTTGTCCAGGTGAGGGACCAGGGCAAGGCTCTGGGCAGCCACAGAGGCTCTTCCTGTGACTGGCTGAACCAGGAAGAAAGTCCCCCAGACCAGCCAGTCCCTGGAGACAGGCGTGGAGTTATTCTCAGGGGAGAGGCATTGCCTGGACTTCAAAGGAGTTCTTCCCAGATGAGTCATGGCTGAAGAAGGGGAACCCGGAAGGGACCCGAATGGGGCCCATTGTCATATGCAGGTGAACCTGAATGAGAGCCAGGACAGGGGAGATTATGGGTCAACACCCTGCTGGCAACTTCTTCTCCCTCTCTGCCAACAAGTGCAGTGTGAGGATTGCCTCCCCACAGCCAAATCTCTTGCCTGACTGAGCTAGAAACAACAGTGCACCACTCAAAGAGGGCGGCCTACGGTGGCTTTGAATGTATGGAGCACTCCCCAGTCCTGGCACAATCCAATGCTGCGCGGCTGGCTCCTGGAAGAAACCATTACACCCCCTCTGGGGCTCCCGGTCCAGGGCTTTGACCTTGAACCACTCCAGTCCCAGGTGGCCTTCTGTTTCACTCACATTTTGCAAATCGAGTCCGGTTCAATTTTGGGGTCTTCAGCCATGATTCAATTGGCTATTGCCCATAGTTCAAGAGCAGGTTCGACTTATGGGTGGGACAAAGGCCCAGGTCAGATCTGA